AAAAGGAAAAAAAGAGAAAAAAAAATTGACGAAGCGCCTTGAACAAGTGTTTTTCAATACAACCGAGATTTCAGTCCTTTTTATACAATTTTAGAATTTATTCGTGTATATTTTACAGGATGATAACCATAAGATCGCGTAGTAATTAGTTAAATTTTTCTTTTAAAATGGCCTTACATTTTAATCGTATAACAACAACAACAATTACAACCAACCAAGACACAAATACACACAACAAGAGGTTTTTATTATACAATAATAATATAAATGCAATAGAGAGATATATGACGATAAATGTACAGTTCTTTGTTACAGTCACACCGTTGATTACGGTTAATGTATTTAAATCATAACTCCGTCTATAAGGTAGAGTACAACGTGTGCTCTCTTTAACAACAGAGTTTTTTTACCACTAGTGCAAATGAAATCCGTTGAATTTATAATAAATGGCGTTACTTTGAAAAAGGCCTAATTCACTAACTTTTTATATCGTCACATAAATATATATATATATATAAATCTATATATATGTATATATATATATATATATAAATATAGATAAAAACATATATACGTATATATGTATATATATATATATATATATAAAAACAAAACTGATCCATTGCCTGAGATCCATATATACACTATGTATATCAGAGTGATGTGTTACAGAAATATCACACAATAGTAAGCATCATTTGACAAGCCATACTTCGCTGGGCATTGGAAACCGGTTACCTAGCTATATTACTACCTACACAGTGCAGTTTTTAAATCTCGCTGTTACACTTACAATTATGTCCATTTCTGATTGGGTGTTCGATGGTTGAAAATTAAAAAAAAAAACCATAATAATATTGTGGGTGACAGTTAAAACAAATTACAAATTAACATTATTACAATTAGAAAAAAAAACAAATCAACAAAAACAAACAAATCAACAAAAACAAACAAATCATACAACACACGTTACAAAAAAATTACATGCAAAAGTCGATCGTTCGGTTTATGAGCATATATATATATATATATATGCATTACAAAGTTATACTTTTGAAACAAAATATTATAATAGAAATGAAAATCAACAAACATTAAAATAATGAAAGATAAAGAATTACAACAAATTTCTGGCTATTAAATAAAACTACACGGTTTACGAGAAAGCAAGGTCCAAAAACTTAAATAGAAAGAAAAAGAAAACAAAAGAAAAGAAAAGATAAAAAAAAAAAAATCCCAAAAAAATGATACGAAAGGAAAAAATAATCTCTTCTGTATATTCATGAAAAATAACAAAATCAATTAATTATATTCAATGAAGGGGGTATAAATAAAGAAAGAGAGAAAGAGAAGGAAAGAAAAGAAAAGGTTAAAAAGAAAAAAAAAAAAAAGAAAAAAAAATAGTGAGAAAGAGAATGATGAGAAAGAAAGAAAGTATGTGTGAGAGAAAGTGTGAACATGAGAAAGAGAGAAAGTGAAAAAAAGAAATAGAATGACAGTGTGAGTGTAAGAGAAAGGAAGAAAGAAAGAAAGAAAGAAAGAAAGAAAGAAAGAAAGAAAGAGAGAGAGAAAGATAAAAAAAAGGGTGGAAGAAGAAGATGAAGATGCAAAAAAAAATACAAGTACATACTTGCCATTCCTGAAAGCATTAATTATTAATACATATTTACATACTTACATAAATTACATATGTATATGTAAACAATAAGAAACAGAAAATGAAGTAGAAGATAAAGAAGATGAAGATGAAGATGAAGATGAAGATGAAGATGAAGAAAAGTAAAATATAATTCTTGGAAAGATGCATTTCCGTTTCGCGTTTTTAATATCGCGATTTATCGTCTGCGATAATAATTTGTAATATCTTATCATCCTATTATCTAATAGTAATTGTATTACCATTATTACATATTATCGTTAAACACACCACACTACTACTATTATCATTTTAATGACGGGGGCTTGGGGGAGGGGAGGGGAGGGGAGGGGGGTTAAGGAAGAAAGGAAGGAAGGAAGGAAGGGGATTGAAGGAATAAAGGAGAATAATTTTTTATTCTTCTTTGACAACTTCTTTACATATAAAATGCGTTAAGATGAGGGGGAAAAAAAAACAGATAAAACATATCTCGGTTGTTTATCTTTCACCGAGTAAATTTCGTTTGCTAAAAAAAAAAAAAAAAACGCTCTGTGCTCCTTTCACTCGATATTTTAAGGATTTAATATTAATTAACACACATGAAAAGGAAAACAAACTGAAAATGAAAACACACACATATGGAAAGAGAGAGAAAGAGAGAGAGAGTGAGAGAGTGAGAAAGAGAGAAAGAAATAAAATACAAAGTAAGAAAGGAACGTGAATGAAAAAGTGTGGTAGAAAGATTAAGGATAATGAATAAGGATAAAAGATAAGGATTTAAGGATAAGGAAAAAAAAAATCACACACCTAATCTCTTTTTAAAATGCATTTAAAATTATGTGTTGTATATATGTAAATTATTATGCAATTTGTATGAGCGTCAAATACGAAAAAAAAACCATAACAAATGGATAAGGGTGCCGGGGGGGGGAGGGAGGGATTTAAGGGGGTAAGGTGTAGTAAGAGGAGAAAAAAAAATGGTATTTCATATTCGAATTTGCCTAGTTACTAAATAGCATATTTAGGTAATAGGGTATCTCATTGCTACCCCTTTGATCAAAAATAAAAGGGTAGAAAAGAGAGAGAAAGAAAGAGAGAGAGAGAGAGAGAGAACTTTAAGGGTTTCTTATTCGAACAAAAATGGACGATCTCTTTTTTTTTTTTTTAACTCTGCGACATGTTTGAAGGAAAAAAGAAATAATAAGTCAAGTTTTGTGTGTATTACGAACACACGATAAGTAAATTAGGTGAGGGTAGAGGGGGTTAAGTGCAAAGGAGGATACGAAAGAAAACACAAACAAACAAAAAATAACAAAAACAAAAAATGAATTAATTAATTTTCATCTAGTCATTCGAAAGATCGATGATAAAAAAAATATGTCGTCGTTCCTTTATATTTATAATCTTATGTATTTTAAGATGGAGGGTATTTCTAAAGAGAAAAAAAAAGAAAAAAAGAAAATGAATTTTGTCTTTCAAACAAAAACACTTTCGTTTAAGTTTGTTTTTTTTCTTCTTTTTTTTTTTTTCGTTTCTAATCTATTATAATATATATATATATATATATTATACAGGGTGATACAAAAGTCGGTTTCTTTCAAATAAGTTTAAACAAACGATTATTATTCATTTTTGCATTGTTGTATATTCATCTTATTTTATTTCTTTTTTTTGTTTTCATTTT